TTTGATTAATGTTCTGTGTCTTTTTTTTTTTTTAATACAAAGCTTTCTTTCTTCCCCTGGCACTAAAATGATGTTTTCTTAAAAGTATGTCCTGACTTTTAGGAGACGAAGTCAACAAGATAGCTTTGAACTTCGCATGAAAACTCGGGTGTCAACATCGCTCCCTGAAATCTGGACGCTAATCGATACCTGTACGGATTGGGACCGGAACCTGGCGTTACCAAGCTGTGTTACACACTGGTCCTGGTTACCCACCCCCATCAGATGTGAATTCTTACACCTGAACTCACCCACGGGACGTCTAAGGAGAAACAGGTTTAGGTCACTGAAGGCCTCCGGTATGTTTCTGGGGGAGACCCTTTCTAACAGCAACTGAGAATGTTCCAGTAAGTAACATAGATCAGCTCTGACGCTGAAAGACATCGCTGTATTCTTTCATTCTAGAAAACAGATCACCACAGAAACGTACACATGGATGCTACTAGTAAGAAAATAGGCTGCCACTGGGCACCAGGGGCTCACACCTATAATCCTAGCTACTCAGGAGGCTGAGATGTGAGGATCGCGGTTCAACGCCAGCCTAGGCAGGAAAGTCCCTGTGAGACTCTTATCTCCAATGAACCACTCAAAAACTAGGAGTGGAGCTATGGCTCCAAGTTGGTAGAGTGCTAGCCTTACGCCAAAAGAGCTCAGGGACAGAGGCCAGGCCTTGAGTTCAAGCCCCAGGACTGAACAAAAAGAAGGAAAGAAAATATGCTTTGGCCAAGAAGAAAAACTAACTGCCTTGGACCTAAACTGTATCTTCAGCTGTACGGTCTCCCTGGGTTGGTTTCTTTAAAAGCTACTTACTTAAAAATAAATTACTTAAAAATAAATATTGATATTGCTTCACACGAATGTTTAAACGGCTGCAGGTGAACATTTAAATCACTTTAATGAGTATTTAAATTGCTTGGAATAAATATTTAAGTTGCCTTAAAAGAAAACTCATTGGAAGGAGAGGGGAGGAAGTTTGAAAGTGTTGCACATTTTGAAATGGCTCTAACATGATACATAAATATGCTAATGGTCAACATTTTTACAGTATTTTACAGAATACTAAATACATTCTATCCAAATCTAAATATGAAGTTTAAGGATACTTTAAGATTGATTGAACTAGTCTATTAATGGTTATAATGTTTTAACAAAGTTAATAAAAAAAAAAAGATTTATCTGATATGGAAAAAAAAAACTACCCACAATGTGTAAATACAATTTAACTCTCATTCTGTGATGTGATCAAACCAGGGAGTTACGATCATTTGTGGTATTGCTATGGCTTTGGTTCCTTTGGGGTGCAATTTCTTATGTGGACACAGGGGTTACGGAATGGACCTGTGTAACTGAATTGACTCCCACCTGTTTATTCTAGAACATTTCTAAAGACTTCACTGAGCTGCCATAATTTTTTTTTTTTAATCAGCGTATGTAGTACTGAATGACCATTAAAATACCTGAATTGAAACTATTCCAGTCTAGCAGTTTGTAAGATCTGGTGTTACCCATAATTCCGACAAAGGCTGAGTTCAAAACAGCAAATTAGTAGATCAGTTTTAGGTGCAGAATAGTAGAAAATAAAACAAACAAACAAAAAGAAAACTACAAACAAGAGCACAATTGTCAACACCACTGGACAGGAACTGGAAAGACACAGACAGGAAAGTTAATAGAAATAGAAATCGGAAGAGGAGAAGCATGCTACTGTATTCTAGCATTACTCTCTACTTACTTAATTACCTTGATTTTTAAAACCCACCCCCCCTTTCTTTCCCTGCTTCACATTTCTGTTTGATGTTCTAACAATGGAGTAACTGAAATAATACTCGTAGAAGTTATAGCAGGCGGTAATCTAGGTCTTAAAAGCTGGTTTTCCATTTATGTGTTAAGCAATTACCACGTTATACCATTAAGGATCCAGACTTTCATTCTGTGTTAGCATTCAACGTTACTCAATAAATTACAACCGTTCATTTAAAAAAAAATTTCCAGGGCTTTTCGAGATAGACGTATTAATTAAATGTTCCCTTTTGCTGGAGGACATTTATATAATGTAATCCAAAGAATGTGATCATTTCCATAAAATCAGAAACGGGAATCCTTAGAATAGCTCCTTCAAAATGTATTTCACTGACAACAAAATAAAAATATAACTCATCCACCACTCAAAATACCCTGCTAGGACTAGTCCTTGGATAACAGAATTCCTATCTGCCACCTGAAAAACTATTCTGAAAGGGCAGAGAGAAAATTGGTGAGCTAGAGATTATCACACACCAAACACATTCTACACCTTCTGTTTTCTTCTCTAAGCCTGGAATGTCCCATTTCTTACATGGCTACAAATAAATAGGCAAGGCTCCCCAAGAATGGGCTTCTATTTAAAAAAAGAAAAAAGAAACGACATTGAAAAGCAAGCCCTTTACTGCAATGCATTTGCATTTGCGCTCTGATGAGCACTTTACTCAGAGCACGTGGAAAAGACAAAATCAAATCAGCACATTTTCAGTAATAGAAGAAATCACCAATCACTGACCACATTCCGAAAGCCATGTGGCAGGCAGGGGATGGACCACCTGGCCACAGGAGCCCAGAGGATTCACCTCAGCCTGCTGAACTTAGTATTTCTACACTCCCAAAGAACGTGCCAGACTTCAAGAGCTTAACAGATTAAACTGGCCTCAGCCCCAGACTTCTTCTAATACTCTAGACTATACAAGTACTATCATGGAAAAAAAAAAAAAAAGATCTTAAACCAGAAGCGCTGGTGGCTCACACCTGTCATCCCAGCTACTCAAGAGGCTGAGATCTGAGGATCACGGTTCAAAGCCATCCAGGGCAGCAAAGTCCATGAGACTCTTATCTCCAATGAACCACCAGAAAACCGGAAGCAGAGCTGTGGCTCAAGTGGTAGAGCGCTTGCTTTGAGCTAAAGAGCTCAGGGAGAGCGCCCAGGCCCTGAGTTCAAGACCCACAACTGACAAAAATAAAATAAAATAATAATAACCAAAAAATAAAAAAAACAGAACCTGGTGGCTCCCGCCTGTCTTCCCAGCTGCTCAGGAGGCTGAGATCTGAGGATCACAGTCCAAACCCAGCCCAGGCAGGAAAGTCCCTGAAACTCTGATCTCCAATGAACCACCAGAAAACCAGAAGTGGCGCTGTGGCTCAAAGTGGTAGAGCGCCAGCCTGGAGTGAAATTAAGTTCAGGAATAGCATGCCTGGCACTAACTTCAAGCTCTACAGCCAAAAAAAAAAAAAAACAATCTTAAGTTGACCAGAAATTAAGAAACAGGAGGGAAAAAATGAAACCCAAGAAGAAAAGAAAAAAATGGTACTGCAAAGGTAAACTGGGGAGTCTAGAGTTAAAGAACCCTGGCTAGCACTGCTTTTCTGTGATTTCCCCTTCAGAGTGGGAGAAATCCACACTCCTCCTCTGCTATGAACTCAAATAAAATCACAATACATAGCCCAGAGGGGGTCTGTAAAAGACCTCCAAGAATGGCAATGCTCTTGTCTTCAAAAATCACTCTTGGTCAAGTATTTTACACAAATCATTTCAGCGCATTCTATTCTTCTGTTCCCAATGGTGATTAGAAAACTAAATTAAATATATATATATATATATATATATATATATATATGAATATATAGATTTCAAACAAGAGAATAGTGTGAGCTGGGGACCGGTGGCTCCCACCTGTCATCCCAGCTACTCAGGAGGCTGAGAGCTGAGGATCCTGGTTCAAAGCCAGCCCAGCAGGAAAGTCCATGAGAACTCTTATCACCAATGAACCAGAAAAAAGCTGGAAGTAGAGCTGTGGCTCAAGTGGTAGAGTACCAGCCTTGAGCTGAAGAGCTCAGAGAGAGTGCCCAAGGCCTTGAGTTCAAGTCCCAGGACCGAAAAAAGAAAAAAGAAAAAAAGAATACTTTAACATCCTAAGAAATGGCTGAGGAAGATTGACATCTAGTCAATGGAACATTCGAGAACAAACTCTACGTAGTGAAAACGCCCACCATTTATCCTGTTTTAGATGGAGAAAAATCACTGGAGGATCTTCAGGCCAAGGGTCTAGATTAGGGAGACTCTGACATTTGTCTTCTGTTATAATTACGGCCCCAGGCTTTAAACAGAGAAGCTGCTAGGGCTGGGCAGGTGGCTCAGTGGTAAAGTGCTCACCTAGCATACATGAAACCCTGGGTTCGATTCCTCAGTACCACACATGCAGAAAGAGCCGGAAGTGGCACTGTGGCTCAAATGGTAGAGCGCTAGCCTTGAGCAATAGAAGCTCGGGGACAGAGCCCAGGCACTGAGTTCAAGTCCCAGGACTGACAAAAAAAAAAAAAAAGAAAGAAAGAAGAAAAAATAGAGAAAAAAAAGCTTTAAGCTGCTTAATCTTTCTTGTTGGTTTATTCAGCGTACTTACAGACCAGAAATCAAGGAATCAGTTGGTTTTCATCAAATTTCCTAACACATCTTATACCATACTTCCAATTACAATGTAAAAGAATCCCAGGAAACTAAGTGATCTATCAGGAGCTCTCGTCAATGAAAAGGATGAACACTTTAAATGAACGGCCATCATGGTCAGATTGTAATTAAAAAAAGAAATGTCGTGAATCCAAAAAAAAAAACACTAAAAAAATATAAAACTGCTGATTCACAAATTACTTGCAGATACCCTCAAAGTGATATAGTGATGCCTGAGCCAAAACAGAAGTCAAGATCATGCTGTTTTCACACAGGAAAGATCACTGAAATACAGGGTCGGACCATTTCTAAATAAGATTATGGGAAATCGGTTAAAGTGACACATGCCAGGGGATGCTTTCTTCTCCTGCCTTGTTTCCTTTTTCTTTTTAAGCTCTTGTCAGGTAGGTTTGGCTTCAAACCATGGCTAGATACATGACACTCAGCAGGGATGGTTAGGACTGAATTCAACGTTTCATGACGGACGTACCAGGATTGTGTATGCGATCCAACAGCTTCACAGACCGAGCGCTGACCACACCACCCACGTGTAACAGGAACCCGGGAGGGAAGGCCGTTAAGGTAAAAAACGGAAACTCCTGGGGGAGAGAAAAGGGAGAAACACCGCTGACCGTGTGTGGGATATATTCAATCAATCAATCAATCAATCAAATAATAAACGTGCCGTAGAAAAGCTTGATGTAAGGAAATGCATGCTGGGTCTTTGCTTGAAAAGGCTACTCATGGTGATCACGCAGACCTGGTGCCGAGTTCCCAAGACATGTCACTATACGGTCAACGCGACAAAATCTGGGTATACTTCTCTTTTATTTATTTGTGCCAGTCCTGGGGCTTGAACTCAGGGCCTGGGTGCTGTCCCTGATCCTCTTTGTGCTCAAGATTAGCACTCTACCACTTGAGCCACAGTGCCACTTTTTTTTTTTGGTCGGTTGTGGGACTTGAACTATTGGCCTGGGCGCTGACCCTCAGCTCTTCAGTTCAAGGCAAGGGCTCTACCCCTTGAGCCACAGCGCCACTTCTGGTTTTCTGGTGGTTACTTGGAGATAAGAGTCTCAAGGACTTTCCTGCCTGGGCTGGCTTTGAACCGCGATCCTCAGATCTCAGCCTCCTGAGCAGCTAGAATGACAGGTGTGAGTCACCAGCGCCCAGCATTTTTATGTCTTCTCATGGAGGGAAAATGTTGGAGGCTCATTCTGAGATACTGGCAATCTACTCTTCTTTGTTCGCCATCTCCTTCTCCGGCGTCATCTCTCAATGAGAGGAAGTGACTGGCCAACCCTCCTAGCCATGAGTATTTCGGGGGGTGGAACCCCGGACAGACCCCCCAATGCTGGCTGTGTAAAGACCCCTGTGCCCTGAGACAAGGGATCGACAAGAAAGCGTGATGGTGGGAAGGGTGGGAGAGAGAAGCAGTGTGGTAGGAGGAAGGCAAGCAAGATGGGGGAAGGGGGGCCCAGAGAACTGCTGGGGAGAAATGACCTCTTCCTGTCACCCCCTTTCTCTGTCACCACTAGACCAGCAGGGAAATTCCAAGGAACGGGAGATGTATGTTAGCAAGACAATACAATTCCCCAAGTTTCTCCAAACTTTTCTCTTCCCTCCTCTCTTAAGAACATAAAATCTGCCAACTTAAAAATTAAGGAGGCCGGAGCTGGGCAGGTGGCTGGGCAGTGGTAGAGCGCTTGCCTTGCATGCATGAGGCCCTGGGTTCGATTCCTCAGCTCCACATAAGCAGAAAGAGCCGCAAGTGGTGCTGTGGCTCAAATGGTAGAGCGCTTACCTTGAGCAAAAGAGCTGAGGGACAGCGCCCAGACCCAGAGTTCAGGCCCCACAACCACCACCAACAACAAAAAAAGAGTTAAGGAGAAGAACTCAAAGAGAAATAAGAGAAAGGAAGGAAGGGAAGGAAGGGAAAGAAGGGAAGGGAAGGAAGGGAAGGGAAGGAAGGGAAGGAAAGGAAGGAAGGAAAAGAAAGAGAGAGGAGGGAAGGAGAGAGAGGGAAAGAAAGAAAGAGAGACAAAGATGAAGGAAGGAAGGGAGGGAGGGAGAGAGAGAGAAAGGAAAGGGAGGAGGGAGGGAAGGAAATTTGCTAGCGCTGATGGCTTACACTTTTAATCCTAGCTATTCAGGAGGCTGAGATTGGATGATCACAGACTGAAGCCAGCTCACACAAACAAATCTGAAGGACTGTTATCTCCCATTAACCAGCGAAACTGAAGTGGCAGGCAGCAAGGGCTCACACCTGTAATGCTGGCTGCACGGGAGGCTGAGATCTGAGGATCATGATTCAAAGCCAGCTTGGGCAGAAAAGTCAATGAGACTCTCCAATGAACCACCAAAAAAGGCCAAAAGTGGAGCTGTGGCTCAAGTGGTGAAGTACAAGTCTGGAGTAAAAGAAGCTCAGGACAGTGCCCAGGCCCTGAGTTCAAGCATCAAGACTGCCACCAGAAACAAAACAAAACAAAACAAAACACAAGTGGAGATGTGGCAGCAGGTATGAGCAAAAAGCCAAGCAAGAGGGGCTGGGCAGGTGGCTCAGTGGTAGAGCGCTCGCCTTGCATGCCTGAGGCCCTGGGTTCGATTCCTCAGCACCACATAAGCAGACAAAGCCGGAAGTGGCGCTGTGGCTCAAGTGGTAGAGCGCTAGCCTTGAGCTGAAGAGCTGAGGGACAGCGCCCAGACCCTGAGTTCAAGACCCATGATAGACAAAAAAAAAGCCAAGCAAGAGTGAGACCCCGGAAGGTGAGAATGTGGAAGGGGTGAAGGAGGTGTCACGGGTGAAGATGCACCGTATCCATAAACTGTTCTATGGCACCTCCCCTGAACAACTACTTAAAAGACAATAAAAATTTAAAAAAACTTAAATCTGTTATGTTAAACAACAAAAGGGCTAGAAAGATGGCTCAGTGGTAGAGCGCTCGCCTAGCATGCATGAAGCCCTGGGTTCGATTCCTCAATACCACAGACACAGAAAAAGCCAGAAGTAGCGCTGTGGCTCAAGTGGTAGAGTGCTAGCCTTGAGCCAAAGAAGCTCAAGCACAGTGCCCAGGACCTGAGTTCAAGCCCCAGGAGTAGGGGAAAAAAAAAGTGACAGACCCTGAGTTTAAGCCCTAGTACCAACACATACACACACACACACACACACACACACACACAGAGAGAGAAAATTCGCTAAAATAGCACATAGGAAGAATGAGGCAGGCCTACGAACGATCCAAACGTGGAAATTGTGCTATCTGATCTCTGACTACAAGAGTAATATAGAAGCAGGGTGCTGGTGGCTCACGCCTGTCATCCTAGCTACTCAGAAGGCTGAGGTCTGAGGACCATGGTTCAAAGCCAGCCCAAGCAGGAAAGTCTATGAACCATGAACCTCAGTGAGCCACCAGGGTCAGGAAAACATGGATGAGAATAGATTAAAGGCAACATAAAAAAAGCTGGGAGCCAGAGGAGTTCGAGAAACAGGCACCAAAATACAAGCAGCTGGGGCTCTGGCCGGCTTCTTTGAGCATGGGAAATTTCACTGAGCACAGCACTTGGGAAGACTCAACACGTGGCCAACAGTACCCAGGAATGTGTTCACTCGTGTGCCCACGTATCTGCATATTCAAGATCAACTCAGTTACAATTTATAAGTGATCTCTAGAGTAACATGGGGGAAAAAGTAATCTATGTAGTGTAAGAATAAAGCCAGGAGCACGTGGCTCACGCCTGTCATCCTAGCTACTCTGGAGGCTGAGATCTGAGGACTGGGGTTCAAAGGCAGCCTGAGCAGGAAAGATGGTGATTCTCTAAATCTCCAACTAACCAGCAAAAAGTCACCAGGGGAGACATGGCTCAAGTGGAAAGGCACCAGCCTCGAGTGACGAAGCCAAGTCAGAGCGTGAGGATGAGAGTTCAAGCACTGGTACCAGCAGAAAAAGAAGCAAGAAAAGCTGGGAGGGAGAGAGCGAGGGATCCAAGAAGAAATGCACTCATTCTCTGACTTACGTAACTGCCGCCCCGCTGTACATCACCTTTACAAACAATTTTTAAAAAATTGAAAGAAGAATAAGGGGGCTGGGCAGGTGGCTCCGTGGTAGAGCGCTCGCCTGGCATGCATGAAGCCCTGGGTTCCATTCCTCAGCACCACACACACAGAAAAAGCTGCACGTGGCGCTGTGGCTCAAGTGGTAGAGCGCTGGCCTTGAGCAAAAGCAGCTCAGGGACAGCGCCCAGGCCCTGAGTTCAAGCTGGAGAAAAAGGAGGAGGAGGAGGAGGAAGGGAGGGGAGGAGGAGGAAGAAGAGGAAGAGGAGGGAGGGAGAGAGAGAGAGAGAGAAGAAAGAAAGGACAAGAAAGCAAACCACCAATCTGTGGATCTGTTTAGGTTTGGCCCCGCTGAGAGGCAGGGAGAGAAGAGGGAAAGATTGGAGGAGAATATATCACTAGCGAAACATCTAGACAAATGCATTATCTCCATCCGGACTGTTTCAATGTCTATTTTAGAGGAGAAATGCTCATGCCATCAAATATGTGAAGACTTTTCCTAAGTGGGGCCTAACTCTCAAATCACCTCAAAATATCCGGAATGTCAGATGGTCCAGCAGAATAAAGACAGGTAATTTGTATTTCATCTCTGTATGGCTATGTCTTAAATGCATAGACAAGAGACAGTGATCAGAAAATACACAGCCAATGCCGGGCATGGTGGCTCCCGCCTGTCATCCCAGCGACTCAGGAGGCTGAGATCTGAGGATCACGGTTCAAAGCCAGGCCTGGCAGACAAATTTAAGACACTGTCGTCTCCAATGAACTGGCCAAAAAGAGCCAGAGGGTAAGCTGTGGCATCAGTGATTGTGCAAAAAAAGCCAATGGACAGCACCCAGGCCCTGAGTTCAAGCCCCAGCACCGGCATTAAAAAAAAGGGGTTGCAAATTTTATCTACACTGAATCCAAAATAATTTCCATTGATTATCTTTCCCTTATAGTAAAATGGTTTTAAAGGTTCTTTGTACAGACTGTAAGGTCACAGACATATCGGAAGTCTTGTATATCTGATTTCAAATCAACTCTGGCTGTTCTGGGGAGGAAAATTCCAGAACAATAATTAGGGACCCTGGAAAAGGACATTAAAAACAAAACAAAACAACAACAAAAAAAAACCAGGAGAGCTGAGTGCTGGTGGCTCCCGCCTGTCATCCCAGCTACTCAGAAGGCTGAGATCTGAGGATCATGGTTCAAAGCAAGCCTGGGCAGGAAAATCCATGAGACTCTCATCTCCGATGAACCACCAGAGAAAACCGGAAGTGGAGCTGTGGCTCAAAGTGGTAGAATGCTAGCCTTGAGGAAAAAAAGCTCAAAGGACAGCCGCCCAGGTCCTGAGTTCAAGTCCCAGGACACACATGTACACACTCGGATGGAAGGACACACACACACACACAAATATACTATTTGCTAGAACAGAATAAAAAGGAACTGTTCTCAAGAGCCAAATTCTGGGGGTAAAAAATACCTTCCCCTTCTATCTTTTCTATCATCAACATACATAGGCGTTCATTACTATGTTTTTCGATCTGATGGTCTAAGACACAACACAGAAAACTGCATTAAAACTTTAAACAAATGCGGACAGCTTTGGGAGCCAGACAGGAGGATGGAACGCGAAGGCAGTGTCGTGTCTGAAAGGAAATGCCAAGACAGAAAACACCATGCGCTCCACCAGCACAACAGAGAGCCGGGGTTTCATGGGGGGCGTGGGGGGGGGGGCGGGGGGGCTGTCATATTGCTGTTTGGTGGCTGTTTACTATTTTGTTTTCCAAAATGAAAAGAAGCAAGCTGGCGACATCTGTCACAAAGCCGAAATGAAACTTAAATGGCCAGGATTGCAGGTAGCAAAGCTTCTGCTACAAGAGACAGGTTCTCCAAGGCGTGGGGACACATACCCGCCCTCCGCAGAACCTAGGACGTGATCTGCCCTGAGCCCCGACGCCAAAAGAAAGAGAGAGAGAAACATCACCCGAAACGATCAGACGCGCCCCCCACAGCTGCCCTGAGCATCACCCAGAACATTCCACACCGGTACACTAGCCTAATGGGCCAAGCACTCACTCCCAAGAGATAGATTGTCCTCTTGCCTGTCAGATCATTCACACGCCATACATTATCCGAACTAGCCAAGCATCCAACATCGATGCACTGTCCTAATTCATAGGAATGGGTACAGTTATAAAAGGTGAGTATTTGTGATACATCGCAGAGAAATGACAGAAGTATCGCACTTAATGACCGCATTAACATACTGAATGATTAATTCTTGGTCATGCAATCAAAATGCTACTCCAAGTGTTTTCTGCAAATATATGAACCATGAAAATGTTTTCAGTTGGGCACTGGTGGCTCATGCCTTTAGTCCCAGCGACTCAGGAGGCTGTTACTGAGATCCAAAGCTGGTCCAGGAAGGAAAATCCATGAGACTCTCATCTCCAATTAGGCATCAAAAAAAAGCCAGAACTTCCAGCACCAGTGGCTCCCACCTGTCATCCCAGCTACTCAGGAGGCCGAGATGTGAGGATTGTGGTTCGAAGCCAGCCCAGGGAGGAAACTCAGTGAGACTGTTATTTCCAATAAACTACTGAAAACAGCCAGAAGGAACGTTGTGGCTCATGTGGTAGAGTGCTCACCTTAAGCAAAAGAAGTTCCAAGCCCCAGAACTGACACAAAAAAAAAAAAATTATTTCAGCTTTTAGTGGGAATTTCCAATAAACGATCAGAAGACAAGAAACGGTTACAGGATTTATCTAAAGCAAAAGTTAACATTTAGAACGGAAATACTTGGGGGCCAGACGTCAGTGGCTTCCATCTGCCATCCTAGCTACTCAGGAGGCTGAGATCTGAGGACTGCAGTTCAAAGCCAGCCTGGGCAGAAAAGCCAATGAGACTCTTTATCTATCTCCCAGGAACCACCAAAAAGCAGGAAATGGTGCTGTGGCTCCAAGTGGTAGAGTGCTAGCTTTGAGGACAAAAGCTGAGGGACAGTGCCCAGGCCCTGAGTTCAAGTCCCAGGACCGGCACACACACGCACGCACACGCGCGCACACACACACACACACACACACACACACACACACACAGAGGAAGGAAATATTTTGATCGCTTGCAATGCATTTTGGATATGAAAAGCACCACGTGGTAACGAGGAGACGTCATCTCAAGGAGCAGGTGGAGAATGGAAACGCAGGCTTACCCTCTGCTCCAGCGCTGACTGGGTCTGCTGTCTCAGAAGCGCTTTGAAAGGCCCGTCCTTCCCAGCACTGCCCATTCCTACAGGACAATCAGCACACAGATAACCAAAACACTGGAGGAACGCGAGCCCGACTCGGCCTTCTTCACAAACACGTGATTAAAAAGCATCCACACATTTCACAGCATTGGAGAAGCAACCTAAGCACATAGTTAATTCTGATAGAGTACACGAGAGTTCTTGTGTTGGTATTCTTTTTTCAAAAGCAAGGTGTCAGAATCAATTTTGCTCAAAGGATTATAAGAAAAAAATCATGCTACGGGAACAAAGCTCTGGATAGCAGTCCATTCTTATAACATCAAGTCGAACCAAAAAGTTCATCCAAATAGTGTCTATTGTTAATCTAACAAAGGACACAAAAAAGAAATGAGCAGTATTTGATCAAAGTTAAAAAAAAAAAAAAAAAGTGAAAAGAGCACTTAACTATACTGAACATATCCCAAAACTGTAGAGAACAAGAAACTGAGATAAAATTCAAGGTATAGCAAATTATATTCTCCTAGTTCCAGTTCTAAAGATAATAAAGTAGTATTAATTTCATACTTGCTAGCATTCATTCACAAATGTCAACAAAGTTTTTTTGAAATAAAGGAAAACTAAACTAAAAAAATGGACAGACAATAGACACATCATGAATGTAGATAGTTATGGACGAAAAAGAATATATTTCTCAAGCTCTTGGATGTATTTTTTAAGGCTTAATAGTAACGTTTTCCTGTCTTGCTTTACTGATTTGGAAATACCACCAGAACAACTATGGTAAGATTACAGTCTATAATCTATAAATATAATCTATATTATGCTCTATAAGCTATCATCATAATCTATATTATAATCTATGTATTACATAGTATAATTTATAAGCAAGGGAAGGTGGGAAGTGTTCTACACATCAAAACTAACACTCCACCCTTCCAAAGCTGAAAATGCAAACGGACAAATTCACTCCAGCGAGTTTAAAAAAAAGAACTCATCTAATTATTTTACATTTTTAGCTGGTTTTGGATAAGGAAACAAAAGTTAGCATGTGTACAGTCCCACTTCAGTTCTGTAACAACAAGAAATTCTTTTTTTTTTTTTTTGGTTTTCAACAGTACCCCCAAACGTGATTGTTTCGGACTATACAATGCTAAATAGAAAGAAAACGAAGTTTCTTCAGTGTGAAGCCTATTAAAAAGCCATAACGTAAAAGGCAAATTGGTAGTGATAAGTAAAATATCAAAAAAAAAAAGTTTTTAAATGGCAAAATAATTTGACTAATGCAGTAGGCAGGGGCAGGGGGAAAAAAAAAAGATAATCAAAGAATATCACCAAAAATGAGACTTAAACTGATTCAAACACAGTAATTTACTCATGGGTCGGCGTGGTTTCGTGAGAAGATGGGACAGGTCCAATGCGAAATGGAGCTGGTGTGGAGGGAGAGGAGAGAAAGCATCTAATCGTCCTGACGGTGACCCTTCAGGCCATGCCCTCCGACAGAAAATAAGTCGGGACAAATACGCGTTGGGGACATGTGGGATCCTCCACTGGGCCATTCTCAAGGCTGTCTCTGGGATCATGCTACAGGTACAGTGGTGTTCAGCAGTGGGACCGTGAGCAGAGCTCCATCCTTTTGTCTAGAGTAGGAAGTCAGGAAGAGTCGCTTTGTTTTGTTTTTGTGTTTTGCAAAGTGGATGACAGCATGGGATCCTACCAGAAGTAGACAGGAACAGCTCGTCACTGAAAGAAACGCTTTTCCTCAGGACTGGGCACCCGGGGGAAGGATGAGGGCTAAGGCTAGGTCCCGAGAGAAGACAGGGCTGTGTGAGATGGAAAGGTTCACAAGAGAGGAGAGGGGGGCTGGGGCTCTGGGAGACCCCAGCTCCTGGAGGGGAAGGTGCTGTGGGGAAAAAACAAAAGACAAAAAAAAAAAAAGTAGCAGAGATGCAGGTTCAGAAGGTGATCAGAAAAACGCACACGAAGGCAGACAGGCAATGGGGGCGGGCAGGACTGGAGCCAATGAACTTCAATGTACAGACAGGTGCATGAAGCAGGGGAGAACCATCAGCAATTCCACCCAGCACAAGGCAAATAAGCACACGTCTAAGCTTAATAAAAAACAAACTCAAATGTTCTCTTCCTTTACATGTGTTCAACTTGATGCCTTTTTTTTTTGTGCCAGTCTTCTTGGGACTTGAACTCAGGGCCTGGGCGCTGTCCCTGAGCTGCTTTTGCTCGAGGCTGGCGCTCTACCACTTGAGCCACAGCGCCACTTCTGGCTTTTTCTGTGTACGTGGTGCTGAGGAATCGAACCCATGGCTTCATGCATGCTAGGCAAGCATTCTACCACTGAGCCACCTGCCCAGCCCTTGATGCAATTTAAACTTTCTTTTTTTTTCAGTGATGGGGTTTGGATTCAAGGCATGAACACTGTCCCTAAACTGTTTTTTCTGCTCAAGACTGGCTAATGCTCTGCCACTTGAGCCACAAGCCATTCATTGTGACTCTCTCCAATAAACCACTAGAAAACCAGGAGTGGAGCTGTGGCTCACACGGTAGAGCGCTCGCCTTGAGCTGAAGAGCTCAGAGACAGGGCTCAGGCCCAGAGTTCAAGCCCCACGACCACAAAAAAAAAAAAAAAAAAAAAAAGAATTTCATGGACTTTCCTGCCCAGGCCGGCTTTGAACCGTGATCCTCAGATCTCAGCCTCCCGAGTAGCTGGGTGGGATGACAGGCGGGAGCTACCAGTGCCTGGCAGTTGTAATCATCCTTAAAACACAGTTCTTAGAAATGTAAACTACTTCCCTCGTTCTGTTTAACTTGGAAGGTGGAAATGTACCACATCGTTTAAGTATACCTAAAAATGTGTTGCACCAAAAAAATAAGATAAAATACAAATTCAAAGAAAATCTTTAAATTGATGCTAGATCCTTGTCTAAAAAAGAAATGTACTCACTACCTAACTTATGTACCTGGGATTCCTCTGAACATCACCTAAGTAATAATAAAAAAGAAAAAAAAAGGGAAGAAAATTGTTTCTAGCTAAGAGGTAACATACTGTGGTGTTTTAAAATTGAATGTACATTTTTGTGTGTGAGCCAGTCCTGGAGCTTGAACTCAGGCCTTCTGAGTTCAAGGCTAGCTCTCTACCACGTCAGAAACAGCCTCCACTTCCGGCTTTTTGCTGGATAATTGGAGGTCAACACCTGGCTTGAATGTATATTATTTTTTAATCAAGTACTCAGTACCATATAAGGTAGACAGTGGCCATTTTTAATTTAAAATAAAGACTAACTTATTTGTCTGATTTTGATGTTGAGAATCTTTCTTCTGCAATGTCTCATCTATATTCTGATTACAGTACTTATGCATATGCACAGATCTGAGCTCAGAGTTCTAATACTCTCTGGATGATAAAAACAAAGTATAGTTTCTGGATGATAAAAACAAAGTATAGTTAACAGCCCGGTTAAAAAATTATAAATTGCCTCAAAACAAGGATTCAATTAGTATCCAAACACTAGCATTCAGAAATTCCAGGCTTATTAGTTGAGTATTTAGGAATAAGCCTCATTAAATGTAAAAGATTAAGCTAGACACAGATGACTCATGCCTATAATCCTAGCTCCTCAGGAGGCTAAGCTCTGAGGATCTCGGTTCAAAGCCAGCCCAGGCAGAGAAGTCTATACGACTCTTTATCTTCAGTGAACCACAGGAAAAAGCTGGAAGTGGATGATGGGTCAGCTGATAAGAATGCCAAACTGGAGTGAAAAAATGAAGGGACAGTGCCCAGTCTCTGAGCGCAAGCCCCAGTACTGGCACACACACAAAAGCAAATACATAAACAATTAGAATCTACAGAACTATGAGAGACTGAGCAGAAAAACAGGCAATAATGTTAACTATTCTGGTATGTTAGTATTATTACGTATATTATTATAGTATTGCTATAACAATATAATAGTATAATACTATATAATAATAAAATAGTATTATATAACATTAGTATAATAGTATTAACTATTATAACTATTATAATTAACAGAAAATACAACTTTCTTGGACACATCTTTCCTATCTTTGTTCTCTTTCTGGCTTTCCAGTTTCCAAATAACTATCCAGTGATCATCGGCTTCTTGTACCCCACTATTTCTTGGGGTGCTGATTAAGACCAAATGACTACAAATTAATACATTTCTGATAAGATTAGCGTGGAACTAACTACGGGACAAAGAAGCATTTGTAAATGAGTTGGTAAGGCTGGAAGAGTTCGCTGCTGACATCACAGATGCTATGGTAAAGCCAATGCGGAAGGCAGGTAAGCCTGGCCAGCTGCATCCTGTTTGATAGACTGCCCTCCGCTTGGCCTTCCAGATGAATCAAGGAGCAGAAAGAGCCCAGTGCTGACGGCTCACGCCTGTAATCCTACCCACTCAGGAGGCTGAGATATGAGATGTATTTCCAATTAGCTCCAACTAGCCAAAAGCCAAAAGTGGAGATGTGGCTTAAGTGGTTGAGTGTCAGCCTACGCGTGAAAAAAGCCAAGAGCACCAGGCCCTGAGTTCAAGCCCCAGAGCTGGTACTGAAAAACCAAACCAAACCAAACCCTACAGAACCCGAGGTGCCGAACATTCGTAGAACTGGGGGTGTCACTCAGGGGTAGAAAGCTGGCCTAGCACGCAGGAGGCCCTGGGGTTTGACAGCTAGACTACATTTAAAAACATAAGGGCTGGGCAGGTGGCTCAGCGGCAGAGTGCTTGCCAAGCATGCATGAAGCCCTGGGTTCCAGTCCTCAGTACCACATAGAAAAAGTCAGAAGTGGTGCTGTGGTTCAAGTGGAAGAGCCCAGAGAGGCTGAGGGACAGAGCCCAGGCCCCAAGTTCAAGCCCCAAGACTGGCAAAATAATTAAAAAGAAATATAAAAAAGAAAAAATAATAATAAAAAGAGAGAAAAGAAAAAAAAGAAGAAAAAAAAAAAGATTTACAAAACACAGTGGTTTTGGTTCTGTTTGGTTACAAACATCAAGGCCAGAATCTATTTTTTTTTTTAATAGACTACAGTTTGAGCGGTTCAATGTTTATGGCAGTAAGTCTGACCAGAATGCCACACGCCAAAGCACTGGTGGCTACACCCAGCTAGAGCTTGAGCTAGGATTCACCAGTGGGTCTGTCCCTCGAACTTTCCAGAAGATGGGACCTGCATGTCCTAAACCATGGCTAGATCCTCTACCAAAAAAAAGTCTCATGGACTTTCCTGCCCAGGCTGGCTTTGAACCGTGATCCTCAGATCTCAGCCTCTGAGTAGCTGGGATTACAACCGTAAGCCACTGGCACCACTTCCAGTTTTCTGGTGGTTCACTGGAAATAGGAGTCTCACAGACTGCTGCCCAGGCTGGCTTCAAACTGTGATCCTCAGATCTCGGCCTCCTGAGTCCCTAGGATTACAGATGTGAGAAACTATCGCCTGGCTGTGATTTGTATGTGTGTGTGTATTTTTTTTAATTTTAATTTTATTTTTTGTTGTTGTTGGTTGTGGGGCTTGAACTCTGGGCCTGAGTGCTGTCCCTCAGCTCTTCAGCTCAAGGCAAGTGCTCTACCACTTGAGCCACAGCGCCACTTCCGGTTTTCTGGTAGTTTATTGGAGATAGGAGTCTCATGGACTTTCCTGCCCGGGCTGGCTTTGAACTGTGATCCTCAGATCTCAGCCTCCTGAGTAGCTGGGATGATAGGCGGGAGCCACAGGTGCCTGGCCGTGAATACAATTTTTATTGTTCTTTAAGATTATAACAATGTCAGCAGTTGTTGTTTAAAATATAATGGAATTATTTAAAGAACCTAGCTCTGATTTGGGCAGTTAAGTATCTCATTTCATGTCTTATCTACTTTTGAGAAGAAAACATAATTCACAGAAACCCAAGGGTTATTCGTAAAAATACAAACAGAAATGAACAAAATGGAAAGTGAAAAAAATTGAGAAATAGTCCAAGTAAAAACAAAGCAAAACAACGTTGGGTGTCTAAAAACAAACAAACAAACAAAAAATGCTGTTTTCTGACTTAGGACAATTAAGATGAGCAAAAGCAAAGGTCGTACACCACAAATGGAGAAATGAGGGGTGCCACCTGCTCCCCTCTACCCTGCAGGACCTCCTGCATAATGCTTGGTAAGTCCTACCACTGAGCTAGCCGCCAGCCCCATCTACAAATAACTAGATCACTACGCTGCCAGGAAACCATTGCAATTCTGGAAGATTCCTTCCGAGATACCATGGTAGGACTACATTCTGAAACGGAAACAAGGAATCACGTGCCAATGCTTTGAAGTGTTTTATTCCTGCTCCGTTTGGGCAGGGGGGAAAACAGAAAGATCCACACCCCAAAAGAAAAGCGTGGACTGGATCTCCACAATGAATTGGATCTATTAAAAAGAAAAAAGAAAAGAAAAATGCCCATCTCTCAACAAGATCAGGTCGAAATGATTTAAAAAAAAAAAAAAAGGATAAAAAAGAAAAAGCTTCCTACTTTAGTTGAAGTCACTGAAAAATGATCGCCCTATGCACCCTGGAGGGACCGAAGCAAAAAAAAACCAGAGGAAAGAGTGGCGTGAAGACGTCCCAGAAACGAAATAAGAATTTTCCAATTTAAAAACAAAACAAAACAAAAATTAAAAAGAGGAGGAAGGGAGAGGAGGGGAAGGGAGGGATGGGGGGAGGGAGGGGAGGGGAGGGGGCAGGGCCAGTGGAAATCTCTTACCCGTTTTGGGTGTCAAACTTAAGTCTGTGTCTGAAGAAGACTGTCGGCTGTACGATTTAGAAGGAGAAAAGGAGTAAGTGTGATTTTTCAGAGGGGTGGAAGGTCCTGATGAGGGAGCACAGGGCCTGGGGTCTTCGCTGAAGGGCGCCCTGCCAGAAGAAGGGGGAGAAACATGGAATAATCATGTGCCAGGAGGGCTCTGGAGAGACGGCAGCATGATGGGGGGGCGGGCCCACTGAGGCAGGGCCGGTCTGTCCTGCGGGACATGTAGAAGAACCAGTGCCGCTTACAACTTTTCTCAGCATTCTCTGGAGGAAAATTATCTGCATTGAAACAGTTAATAAGCCAAGGGAAAAGAAAACAAAAAGGCCATTTATAAAATTAAAAAAAAAAAAGCATGAAATGACATATTAATGCGCAAAATAATATACATATATATATACACATTAAAGAAATCAACACATCTAAACCAACTGGAAAATCACGGTGTGTGGAAATCGACGTGTGTTTTCCGATTTAGAGACACACACTTACACACACACACACACCTAGATTTCCTCCAAAGAACAAACACATACAGAAACCAGTATTAAAAAGAAAACAACCAAAGAAAAAAAGTATGTTTCCTTATCCCAAAGTAGCAGGAGTGACACAGCTAAAAACGCAGCTGACATGAACAACTCTGCGTGGAAAGCAAAACCCACACTTACCTGTCCACCAGCAACTCCATTCCACAGAAGGCGCGAGAACCTTCTGCTTGCCACCCCCGGGTGGGTTTTGGGGGAACCCATGAGGCCAGAAAGAAAAAAAGCCCCAACTCCTTCTGAGCGATTTCATTTTAGAATCGGACCCAATCAGGCTTTCTCAGCCAATATGGAAGGAACTGGCAATTTCACAGGCAGACTCCAATTGGGGGAGTCGGGGAAGAGGGGGGGGGGCGCGGCACCCAGGTTCTGCGAGGCTCTGTGGAACAGATTTTTGACATCCAGAGGATCACACTTCCTTTTCTGTAAGTGTGAGCTTGCAGGATGGCTCAGCCCACAGTGCTCACTGCAGCTGGAATGAGAATTCGGAGCCTGGAGGAGGCTGGGATTTGGGGGTGCCTGCCTCTCTCTCCCCAGCTCAGGGGGGCGGGGGGGAGGTTCCGAACAGTGCCGTACCAGTGTAGATGAGAGTGGGGACAGACACAGAGAGGTTCTGGGTGAGTCGGGAGCCGCAGGCAGTGTGAATTGGGCTGTTATGAGTCGAGCGGCATCCGTGGCTGTTTGCGGGGTGGGCGAGCGGAGACCTGAGAGATTTGTGGTCACAGTGGAAGAAAAGAGAACACAGCACATACAACAGATCGCACGGTTAGCTTAAAATACTTGTAAAGGAGTTCGCAGGCAAAGGAGAGAACTTATTACATATATATATATGTATATATGTGCACATATTCATATTCTTTTTGGAAACCCTACCATGCAAAGAAAAAAAGTTCAAATGCAAAGAACAGCTACATAGCCGGGTGCTGGTAGCTCCCGCCTGTCATCCCAGCTCCTCAGGAGGCTGAGAGCTGAGGATCACAGTTCAAAACCAGCCCCTAGCAAGAAAAATCTGTGAAACTCTGTATCTTCACTGTATCTTTAATAACTGAAACTCAAGTGGTACAACACTAGCCTTGAGCCAAAAAGCAAGCTCAGGGAGACCGCTCAGGCCCTGGGTTCCAGCCCCATGACCAGCACACACACACAAAAAATTCATTAGCTGGGGCTGGGAAGGTGGCTCAGTGGTAGAGCGCTTGCCTTGCATGCCTGAGGCCCTGGGTTCCATTCCTCAGCACCACATTAAGCAGAAAAAGCCAGAAGTGGTGCTGTGGCTCAACTGGTAGAGCGCCAGCCTTGAGCTGAAGAGCTGAAGGACAGCGCCCAGGCCCAGAGTTCAAGCCCCAAGACCAGACCCCCCCCAAAAAAAAAAATTCATTAGGATCTAGGTTTTAAGACCCTGTAACATACAAATTATTTTCATTGGGTTAGGACTTACTATATAGTATTAGAAAGATAAAAAAAAGCAGTCAAACATGAAGTTTTCCTATTACTTTTGTACTGAAATAGGCGTTGCTGATATAAATGGTTAAATAATCTATGAAGGAAGTGAAAAACTGTTTCTGTTTAGAATTTCAAGATGGAGTATTTAAGAAAATAATTAGAAAAAAAAAAAAAGTTGTGTTGAAGGATTATGTTTAGGGCTGGGCAGGTGGCTCAGTGGTAGAGCGCTCGCCTAGCATGCATGAGGCCCTGGGTTTGATTCCTCAGTACCACAGACACAGAAAAAGCTGGAAGTGGCGCTGTGGCTCACTGGGTAGAGCGCTAGCCTTGAGCAAAAGACGCTCAGGGACAGCGCCCAGGCCCTGAGTTCAAGCCCCAGGACTGGCCAGAAAAAAAAAGACAATCCTAAGGAAGCAATGCAGGCACCTCCCTGGGCAGCTGTTTCGCATCTGGAGGAAGGAGCTGTGCAAACCTCGAGGAGGAAGCATGCCCCTCCCCTCAGCCCTGCCCCGGCTCACAGCAATGGCTCTCTGATTGCACAGGCATTTCCTTATCTCATTCCAGTATGTTCTAAGACACTGCAGCATTGAGTACCAGTATCTTTCAGGTGCCTTATCTCCCCAAGCCAAGCCTGTCCACACCCTGAAGATAAATTCCTAGGGTGCCAAGTGTGTGTGGGGGGGGGGGGGGGGAGGGGGGAACGGAACCCAGGGCTTCTGTTTGGTTATACTTGTTTCTTTTTGAGACAGAATCTCAGTAGGTATCCCAGGCTGGCCTTGAACTCAAGATCTTTTTCTGCCTCAGCCTCTCCAGTACTGGGATTATAGGTGTGCACTACCACACTTGGTTGCAAGACTCAAGGTTCTAATTCAATTTCAATGGATAGGAGACAAAATTTGGATTACTCAAAAAAAAAAAAATTAATAGGACAATCTGACTCCATCTGCACGAGCTAGAAATTTGTGTTTCCCAGAATGTACTTGAACTCAGGTTTTTGTGTTGGTTTTTTTTTTTTTTTTGTCGGTCACAGGGCTTGAACTCTGGGCCTGGGCGCTGTCCCTCAGCTCTTCAGCTCAAGGCAAGTGCTCTACCACTTGAGCCACAGCGCCACTTCTGGTTTTCTGGTGGTTTATTGGAGATCAGAGTCTCACAGACTTTCCTTCCCAGGCTGGCTTTGAACCGTGATCCTCAGATCTCAGCCTCCTGAGTAGCTGGGTGTGAGCCACCTGCACCTGGCTCAAACTCAGATTTTTTAGAAATTACTGCACTTACGCATGTGCTACTAAATAAAATTAGACAATAAGCAATACTGTACTTTCTTTTGAGAATAATTTTCTGTGTGTGTGTGTGTGTGTGTGTGTGCACCAGTACTAGCGCTTGAGAGCCGGCACTGTCCCTAAACTTTTCCTCTCAAGGCTGGTGTTCTACCACTTGAGCCACAACCCCACTTCCCATTTTTTGATGGTTAATGATGACAGGAGCTCACACTTTCCTACCTGAGCTGGTATTGAAGCATGATCCTCAGATCTCAGCCTACTGAACAGCTGGGATAATAGAAATGAGCTGCTATGCCTGGCCAACCTCATTATTAAACCAGACAATAAAGCCTGTCTTAAATAATCCATGTTGAGGGGTGCTGTCTTCAAAACATGAGGCCCCCGTGTTTCAGACTCCTGAGATTTTTTTTTGCCATTTGGAGTATTTGCAAAGCTCCACCACTGAAGGTTTCTAACCTGAAAAACCTAAAAATCCACCCAAGGGCCTGGGCAGGTGGCTCGGTGGTAGAGTGCTCGCCTAGCATGCATGAAGCCCTGGGTTCGATTCCTTAGTAGCACACACGCAGAGGAAAAGCTGGAAGTGGCGCTGTGGCTCAAGTGTCTTGAGCAAAGAAAAGAAACTCAGGGCCAGGGCTCTGAGTTCAAGCCCCAAGACTGGCAGATAATAATAATGATAATACATTAACAAATAAAATAAAAATCCACCCGAGTATGCAGGCTGTGGGGCGGGCTGAGCCTGGAAGGTGGACTCTCTGCCTTCAGACAGACGTGTGCTGAGCCAGGCAGTGTGGTGTGCCCACAGTTCCGGATGAGGAGGAGGTCTGGGCCGGGCTGAGCGACAAAGACAGACCCCCATCTCCAAAAAAGGAAACAGAGACAGACAGGGGTGAACAGTTCAAAGCCAGCCCGGGCGAGAAAATCCGAGAGACTCTCATCTCCAAGGAACCACCAGAAAACTGGAAGTGGCGCTGTGGCTCCAGTGGTAGAGCACCAGCCTGGAGTGAAAGAGCTCAGGGACAGCGCCCAGGCCCTGAGTTCAAGTCCCAAGACTGACCAAAAAAAAAAGACATAGGGAGGGAGGAGAAAAGAGGGGAAGGGAGGGGGGAGGATGTGGGAGGGGGCAGGTAGGAGGGGAGGGAGGAAGATGTGGGAGGAGAGGAAGGGAAGGGAAGAGGTAGGAGAGGGAGGGAGGAGGGGGAGGGCTGGGGAGGGGAGGAGGAAGGGAGGCCAGGCCTACTTGGCTGACACCCACTCATCTCATTTCATTCTCCTGGCCCGCCTGGCCTTGGTGGGCCTCTACGCCTCGAGTGGTCCAACTCTCACACGCAGGGTTCAAAGCCACCCCTAGACACCTAACGTCTCATGGCTTTCATGGTACGCCATTTTCTATCAGTCCAACGGGTCGATCTACCTATCCAACGATGAGCTTGGCCACGGATGTCTGATCAGAAAAAGCATGGGGGGGAGGGTACACAAAGGATTGCTGCACATGGCTCCGAACTGTGACCCATGGGACGCGCACCCGCCCGGGGGGCGGACCCCGGCGCCATACTTACTCCTTCATCTCTTTGGAGGGGGAGTGGCACGTCGGGAGGAAGGTGGCTGGGTTCGTTAAGGTGTCCAGCGTGCACGCCGTGCCGATGGCTCGGACCACGAGCCCCGACTCGCCCTCCAGATCAAAACACTGCAAGTACCCGACCACCGCGTTCCCGCGCATCTCCAGGACTTTCAGGCCAATCTTCCTCTGCAGCTCACCTACAAAACAAGCCCACACGTCCCGCCTGCTCACACAACGCGGCGCTCAAATCCCGACAACCTGGGCGCCGGTGGCGGGCGCCTGTCAGCCCAGCCGCTCAGGAGGCTGAGATCTGAGGACCGGGGGCTGAGGCCTAGCCCGCGCAGGGAAGTCTGTGAGACTCTGGATCTCCAGTGAAGCAGCAAAAAGCCAGAAGCAGAGCTGTGGCTCAAGGGGTAGAGCACCAGCCTTGGGCACAAAAGAGCTCAGGGACAGCGCCCAGGGTCGGAGTGCTAGGAGAGATGGTATTTGGACAAGGGCGGTGCAAAGGTAATGGTTGAAGATGGCAGGATTACAGCGGGAGGGGTTCGAACCTAAGCTCTGACACCAGAACCAGCGCCTGCCGGCACCTCCTCATCACCAGCGCTGTGTTCTTTCCACTAAGACACTCTCTGAACACAATTTCTTTATTCTTTTGTGCCAGTCCTGGGACTTGAACTCACAGCCTGGCTGCTGACCCTGAGCTTTTGGGCTCCAGGTGAGTGCTCTACCACTTGAGCCACAGCTCCACTTCCAAATTTCTATTCTTCATTGGAAATCAGAGTCTCACAGACCTTCCTGCCCTGGTGGGGCTTTGAATCACGATCCTCAGGTCTCAGCCTCCTGAGTGACTGGGATGACAGGAGTGAGCACCAGTGCCCGGTTTAAAATTTCATTTCGCTACTGGCTTCTGAGTCACATTTCTACGTTTCAAAACACGCAGCTGAAAATGGGCCAGGGGTAGGAATCAGTCATTTAAAATTCATAACCAGGGCTGGGCATGTGGGTTAGTGGTAGAGCGCTTGCCTAGCATGCATGGAGCCCTGGGTTCGATTCCTCAGTACCACATTCACAGAAAAAGCCAGAAGTGGTGCTGTGGCTCAAGAGGTAGAGCACCAGCCTTGAGCAAAAGAAGCTCAGGGACAGCACCCAGGCCCTGAGTTCAAGTCCCAGGACTAGCAAAACAACAACAAAAACAACAACTTCATAACCAGTTTCGACAACATTTCAAGCAGCACTTCACAAACAAGTCAAAGACGCTGGGAGAATGATGTCAATCAACACCAATGCCGCTTTGTATAAATACCTGACATTAAGGAAATGAGTCTCTGTCTGGCCTCATTGGACGCCCTGGGTGTGCGGATCCGATCGATCCACTGATACTCTGGGTCTTCATTGACCACAAGTTCTTCCACAAATCCATGAATGACCACAGCTCTGTAACACTTGGGGATGGATGTTGCTGTTAAAACAAATCATCTATTATGTGTCCATTTTTTTTTAATTATGTGTATTTAAGCTGGGTGCTGGTGATTATATCTTAGCTACTCAGGAGACTAAGACCTAGAGGAGCATGGTAATAAGCCAGTCTGGGCCACGCATCCGTGGCTCCCGCCTGTCATCCCAGCTACTCAGGAGGCTGAGATGTGAGGATCATAGTTCGAAGCCAATCTGAGCAGGAAAGTCCATGAGACTCTCATCTCCGACAAACCACCAGAAAACGGGAAGTGGAGCTGTGGCTCAAGGTGGTAGAGTACTAGCCTTGAGCAAAAGAGCTCCGGGACAGTGCCCAGGACCTGAGTTCAAGCCCCAGGACTGGCACACGCTAAAAAAATTTTAATTAAATAATAAGTATTATTTTTTTCCCTTGGCCTCAAAACCAAAGTGTAATACTATTTTTCTATTAGTTTTTGGGAACAGAAATTTGATGTTGTATATCTCAAAAGGATTACATTTCTTCTTGAGTAAGACAACGCATTTACTTACTGCAGAAGAATTTCACCCCGCACGAGGACTGTCTAAATCGATTTAAATCATTGAAAAGGTCTACTTTGACGACGACATTGATTTCTCCACGGATACCTAAAGATTCAAAAGGAAAAGAAAATAATGTGCAATTAAATAAGGAAGCGAAAGGATGGTAACAGAAGTTATCTCAATAATGTAACAATCTTAGCACAACACTTCCTAACTTTTTTTTTTTTTTAAGTCAGTCATGGGGCTTGAACTCAGGGACTGGGCGCTGTCCCTGAGCTTCTTTTGCTCAAGGCTGGCGCTCTGCCAGTTGAGCCACAGCTCCACTTCTGATTCATTGGAAGATAAGAGTCTCATGGACTTTCCTGCCCAGGCTGGTTTTGAACTATGATTCTCAGATCTCAGATTCTTGAGTAGCTGGGATGACAGGCATGAGCCACCAGCACCGGGCTTAATTATTTTCATACGATGGTTTACTGTTAACATTTTCTGAAGCACAACATGAATATTTTTCACTATGGCCACAGGTGTGCAATAATGTAAGCCAAGACGAAGTAGAAAGGCATCCAATTCACTGATGGGAATGAGGACAATGTACTCATTACACGTGACATCAACCCAGGAAGTTAACTTCTCTAACCGTGAGCGGCATCTCCATATTAGGGAAGAAATTAAAACTGGAAGCCAGTGGCTCACACCTGTCATCCTAGCTACTCAGGAGGCTGAGATCTGAGGATCATGGTTCAAAGCCAGCCTGGGCAGGAAATCTGTAAGACTTGTCTTCATTTAACACAAAGAAGCTAGAAGTGGAGCTCTGGCTCAAGTGGCTGAGCACTAACTAGACTTACAGCAAACAGGCTCAAGGGTAGCACCTAGGCCTTGAGTTCGAACCCTAGGACCAGCACACACATACACATAGAAAAGATTCAGAACCTCAACAACGTTTCTTTACATAGGCCACATCTATCAATATTTACCACGTAACAACCGAAATTGGCAGTTTAAAAGCATTATTCCTGTAAAGTCACAATAAGCTGCTGACAACTCTGTGCTTTCCAAACAAACAAAAGAATTCATTTGATATGAATGGCTCTATTACAAGTTCATGAACTTCTTTTTTTTTTGGTCAGTCATAAGGCCTGAACTCTGGGCCTGGGCGCTGTCCCTCAGCTCTTCAGCTCAAGGCTAGATCTCTACCACTTGAGCCAGAGCGCCACTTCCGGCTTTTTCTGCTTATGTGGTGCTAAGGAGTCGAACCCAGGGCCTCATGCATGCAAGGCAAGCGCTCTACCACTGAGCCACCTGCCCAGCCTGTCCTGAGCAAATTCTTTTGCTCAAGGCTAGCGCTCTACCACTTGAGCCACAGTGCCATTTCTGGCTTTTTCTGTGTCTGTGGTATTGAGGAATGGAACCCAGGGCCTCATGCCTGCTAGGCGAGCACTCTACCACTGAGCCCCCTGACCAGCCCTCTTTTTTTTTTTGTGCTGGTACTGGAGCTTGAGCTCAGGCCACGGTCTGTCCCTGAACTTTTCAAGTCTGATGATCTACCACTGGAGCTCAGTCTCTACTTCTGGCTAGTCGGTGGTGCAGTGGAGGTCAGGGTCTCACGGACTTTCCTGCCCACCGTGTATGGTGTCGTAGATGGGGAACCAGCCCGAGATGACGGTGGCGGCCTCGCTGACCAGCAGAGGGTCGATGTCGATGTACACCTTGCCGATGGCGTCGTTTGCACTGTAGGTGTCGTGGTCCAGCACGGTGATCTGCAGCGGCTCGTCCTGCAGATCCTCATCGTCCACCTGCAAGCACGCAGCCCTCCATGCGGACCTTGCTTTGGTTGCTTTTGTTTTTCTATGTGTGGTGTGAACTATCTTTAAGTAGTTGTCCAAAGGAGCTACCATTGTACAAAGTGGATTACGAACCCAATAAACCATGGTTGACAGTCTGGGCTTCTGTTTTGTTGGTTTTCTGCCAGCTCCTGGGGCCTGAACTCAGAGCCGGGACTGGAGGCTGTCCCCTGAGCTTTTTCACCCGGGGCTGGTGCTCTACCACCTAGGCCACAGCTCCATGTCCAGCTTTTGTTTTTGGCCAGTCAGTCCGGGGCGGGCGCTGTCCCCGAGCTCTCTCTCCT